CGATGATCCTGCCGAGTGCGGGGGAGCTCTTTGGAAACATGCAGCTGGAGTGAGTGCTTTTGGGGCGGGATGCTTCGAAGCTTCAAGCTGTGGAAAGCTGGGGGAGGAAGAATGGCTTGCGACGTGGATTGGCGGTCTCGAAAGCTACCCCAGGATGCAGGATGAGAATGAACTGACGATACTAAGTTTATGTACACCGACTGCCAATCGGGAATCCCCTAAAGCCAGGGAATCATCCTGTCCATTCCAACTTTCCTTTTCCTCTCCTCTTTCGGAAAGGAGGGTGCTCGGACGAAAATGCATCAGTGCGGAACGACCCTTTTGGCAGCGGGCAGAGCTGCCCTACCTGAGGAACCTTGCTTCCGGAACAAGCTTTCCTGCGGGAGCTTCCTGAATCCTACCTAATGATGCGGCAATTGAAAAGTTCGTGGGGTGTGAGTCAGGGTTGAATAAGCTTATCAACTTATGATTCATGAGTGACCGAGGTTTCGTCAATGTCATCACATTTTGGGTAGAGTGATATGGTTCTGACACGATCCCTCGGAATGTTACCTCGGCAGCCGGCTTTTGGGGCAACGGATGAGTGGGGCCGGTATTCGGGGTCCGCTCCGGGGCTCAGCCCGACCTTCAACTTCCACCACCTCACCTATAGGTACGTGCCTTCCAGAATACCACGTGCATGTGTTGCAAATATTTAGATACATAAATTCTCAAATCAGACATGGAAGCAACGTATCAGCATGAATTGGAAAAGGCTGGCTTCTGACCGTCCAGTTCACGGTCAGTTCATAGAGCTGATCTGGAGCATTTTTCTGCCAATTTAGTCCGTGTTAATGTGAGGTACCCAAGGTAAACAGCACACTATACGGTGTAGAGAGTATCCTACAAAACTTCAAATTTCCCACCACAAAACGCCTCATCTCCCTCCCTCGTCGCATTTTGACTTGGACAAACCCCAAGATTATTCGTACATGTGCTCCAAGAAGCCGCCATTTGATTCCACCACTATGCCTGGGTCCGAGCTCATCCACTCTCAGAACTCTTTTCTAACCCTCCTGTGAAGCTCAAGCGGCGAATGAGTCACGAGTCCAACCAAACCACTTTGTAAGCCGTCTTCCCATGCCATGGAGCATGACGGGATCAATCTTGAGCACCGGGTGCGGCTTGTGAAAGATGATCGCCCCCTTACCGCCTCCATCACCTCCGGATCCTCGCTCGAACCGCACCGCCGACCCACCGTTGTTGCTCGCAACAAAACCAGCATCACATAGAGTGTATACGAAGTCGTCCCATGTGATGTTTCTCGGCTTCGTTTGCGCATCGGGGTACATGAGGTGAACCACTCCAAGAGTGCGCGGGGAGACACGAAGTCGTGTGACGGGCTCGATAGAAAGTGTGGCGATATCGGGAGACTCCGGGTCATCGACTGACTGGGAGCTCGAGGATGAATTGTCGGGGCGGGTCTTGACTTTCTCTCGATGACTCGTCTCGACCAGATCAGCTCGAATGAATCCCTCTGTTGCTCTGCTTCTGTCTAGAAAGGTGTCAGGAGCAGGCTTTTCGGCCTTGGTGATCTTTGCCATGATCTCCTCTTCTTCTCGAGCAATCGCTTCCAGATATTCTGGCTTATTCTGGACAAGCACTTCACCCAGAAACTCTTCGATAGTTTCCGCTTCAAGGTCATTTCCTTCGAGTTCTTTCCGAAACAAGTTCTCCAATTCCTTGAAGAATCCTTCGACAAAGCCTCGCAGAGTCTGGCTTTGCTGCAGCCATGCCTTGTTTTTCACGCCGCTGGGAGCTTTTCCTTTGTAAAAGCCGTCTACAAGGGGCTTCCCCAGCTTCTTGAGTTCTTGCCATGAGTGTTCTTTGGGCTTTTCTTTGGGCTTGTTCTTCAAATATTTCCAGAGTCCACGCTTCTCCGTTCGACGCACATCTTTAAGTTCCCTGTAGGTGTTCAGAGGTCGATTGAGACGCAAAGAAATCAGTGACTCATGGAGGGCAGAGATGTCGGCCATTTCGCGCAAGAGGGATTCGTCGATACGGGCTGTTTCTTTTCTGTTATTCTTGGCCAGGTGATCGTCAATCATTGCAAAGAGCATGGCGTGATCAATTTGTGTCTGGTTGTCAGGCTTGCGCACCATTTGATGAAGACACCAATCGAGTGGGTCGTTCTCTAGAGCTTCTTTTGTGTTCGGGTTCGAGTCCCGCGACATGCCGCGAATGATTGTTTTCAGGGGCACGCCAGGTCTCTTGGGCAGTTTGTAGTATTTCGCCTGTCCCGGAGACCAAGGCAGGAGAAGTTTGAAGCGAACAGTCCGCTCTGTGACTTGATTGGCGAGGAGAAGCTCCAAAGCACCAAGTGCCAGGTCGTACTTGGGAGGGATTGGCTGGCCGGGATGCGTACTGTCTGAAAACATGTCGTGTAGATCCCGCACGTGCTTGCACTCAACCTCAATCCAGTACCACCAGAAGTATCTTTGATACTCCATGTAGATGTGGAAAGCCACCATCATTGCCGCTTCCTCTGTATCTGCCGCGCGAGAGAGCATGGTCTTGAAATAACCCTTGATTTGCCGGCGAAGATATCCTGGGTCGCACTGAAGATCGATGAGATGGTCGATTGCCTCTTCCTTGCGCGTCTGGGCCATGGATAATATGTAGCCCATGTCGAGCTTGGGAGGCCGAGAGAAGGCTGGGTTGGTGTAGGGAGACCAGAGCTCCGTCTCCCGGGGGTGTCGGAAACCAATCGACGTGAGGTCCCTCCACTTATTAGTCCTCGCACTGGCACTTGCAGTATCTGCACCCTCGAGAATTTCATTCGTGATTCTAGAAAGAACGTCCATGAGGACGGCTTGAGCCTCGAGTACAAGTCGCGCGCGAGGATAGCCCAGAGTGTATCCGGAGTGCGCCTGTTGGGCGTCCCAGTCGACAATCTCGCCGTACCTCGGTCCGGACATGACGACGCACTTGGCTGAGAACTCAACGTCAAAGTATCCATGGACCCATGATAACTCCATCTGACGACAGTCTAGCGTAGCAAAGTCCTCTGGCGGATATAGCGTTCGATAATGGAGGAGGGCGAACAGGACGGCTGGGCTCGTCTTGAGCACTTCGACATTGAGCCATGGGACCAACAGTTGGCGCCGCCTTTGCACAGTTCGCTCACCGTATCGAAAGCTCTCGACGCTGTATCCGTATCTGGAGTAGATCCATTGCCATTCCTCGAGCTCAGGTACGGCCTTGTGCAGTAGCTCGCGACGTTCTTCCTGGCTTCGCTTCCGCCAGCGGCTCATAAGGAGATCAGCATGGGAACTAAGACAATTGGTGATGTGCTTTCTCCTCTCCTGAAGTTCTTTGACATATGTAGACGCTATGTTGATTGCAGAGGTATCTGAGATACTGTGATGGTAGGAATGGCTGTATGTATGCTGTTGGCTCTCGGTGTAGTGTCCTGTCTGACAGTTGGGGCAGTCATGTGGTGGTGGTCGTATGGATCGTTCGACTTCTTCTTGATTACATATCCAGACCCCCAGTACTTTAACGAATCTGGGGCGTGTATCCGACATGTGTAAGTCAAGCGGATGCGGTATCAATCATCGATGTAGGGCGTTGTAAAGCTGAAGGCAGAAGCGCCCTGAGGATTTCCTAGTAGTTGCGTGTCCGATAGGCCGATAGTTGTTGGGGCGTTTGGGAGAAAATTCTGGTGATTGAAGTGAGGAAAATTGAGATGTCGACGTTGTAAGCTTGAAGAGGATTTTTGGATTCTTTTTGGAAGCCCGGGGTGCTGTAAGTAAGGTAAGGTAGGTAGCCATCAGTCGGACAACTCATTAGCATCGGAATTTGAGGCATCTAAGGTAGGTAGGCACTAGGGAGTGAGTGGGGCCATTCTTCTTGATTCTTCATCACCTCGTCCACTGTGTGAGCTATCAAATGAACTTTCTATTCAATGCCGTACAAATGAAGCATATGCGGTCAGCCCTTGGTATTAGAAGGGTTTCAGCACCATTACAAGCTCCCAATGATAGATGTCAATGCATGAAGTATGGGAGAACTTAGAGAAACAGCTGTAACTACTTGAAGTCAATACGCTCAGAACATAAGATTCTGACCTTGTGCTTTGTTCTGACATGCGATCAGGTAAGGTGCTTATGCTGCCATGCTTTTGTTTGCCAGTCAAAATTGAGCCCACGCTCAGTACGAATGTACAGCGGAAATGGTATTTCTTCGATCTGTCTTTCAACCAGGAAAGATAGATCTTCCCAAGGGGATTGAGTTACGCTCTTCTTTCAAGAGTCGCTTTGTCAAACCCGCCGGTCTGGAAGTGGGGCCAAGCAGACCGGACCTCCAGCTCTCGGTCCACAAAGCGCCGGCCGGCCGGAACGGAGCTGGCAGCTGATCCCCGGGCGTGGTATTTGGAGGCACCTCAGGTAAGCACAAGGTACGTCACCCGCTTCCCCCACTTTTGGCCATTCGAGCAGGCAACAGCGACAAGGAGGCCAAAGTATCGATGAGTCTTGGGAAACCTTGGTTACCTATGTGCGGTGGTTTTTAAAGAGGCCGCCTTACTACAAAGCCACGAGGAGAAGATACTTTGTCCATTTTTTTTTCTCTCCGAAAATGGGTTTGATGTGAGGCCTGCCAGTACATTGGGTGACCGTTTCGTAGCTTTCCTCAATCACTACTGCCTGATTTGGGCTGATAGGCGCTCGTCAACTCACCTTCATTTCTTTGGAAGAGGAAGAAGGAATAGAAGTGTGTTCCGGGTCCGCTGATAGCCGTCTTCTGCCGCCTAGATAGGCCTCCTTGTACACTCACCTCTGAAAGCTCTGAAAGACTCACTGGCTGCCAATTGTTCCTCTCGGTTTTATTGTATGTGGCCACCCCGGAATGCTGGGAGCTTTGTCCATCTTTATGTACCTTAAGTACTGGAAGTAATGCCACAGCTGTATCCCTGCCCCTCACAAGGTGTAAGCCGATCCAGATCAAAGCACCTCAACATACCAGTCATCTCTGCACCCGCAGTAGAGTCACTCCAGTCACGAGTTGGCTACCTAATACCTGGTCATCCAGTCATCTTTCTCATTCCCGCAGTCTGCTCACCGTACCCAATGTCCGAACACTTGTACCTAGTTTGGTAGAAAGCCACGTAGGTTGCCTGCATAACTCCTAGACACGGTCTCATGTCACCGGGGCACAGTGAAGGTACCTTTTCTTACCCCTCCATCCATGCTTCTCATCTTCTTGTCAACCTTGACTGTCACGGCTTCATTCTTTTTCTGATTACATCGCATTCTCGTTGCCCAAAATCCACCATCATACAGCATCGCAATCCATCAGGCGATTCTCGCGAGCGGCTTCTCTCCAATCATCTCCTCTTCGACTCTCTTGGCAGGATAGCCGCGTGGCTGAGGCAGCCGACAGTGTTTAGAACCGCGCTGGGTGGCATCTGACTCCCTGAGACCTTGCTGCCTGGACAAGGCTACGCACCCCCAGCAATCTTCATCTTTGGGTATCGAGACTGCGAACTGGCGGACTTGTTGCCTTGCGATTCTCCAACTCTTTCAACCAGGCTTTTTCGCCAAGCTAGTTTGGATTGCCAGAGAAGCTACTCATACCCTTGATTGCTACTCTAACTTCGACGCAGTCAATCTCCCGGCTACTTTGTGTCAGTCATCATTGGTGTGAGAGCTCAGAGGACCAGATCCTCCTCATCTCAACATTAACTCAGTTCCCGTTGCCTATATCCTGATCTCGTCGCAGCGATGGCCTCGGACGAGAACAAGGCGCCGCCAGCGGCTGCAGACAACGACTGGTCTCCTGTAGTCATGGACTGGTGGGAGGCCCCTCAGGACGAAGACCAAGAAGAAAGCCGGGGCGGTGCTCAAGATGAGCCCGGTCGCGGTGTCACGTACGTTGGGCCTCCGCTCCGAGAGCAAGCTGCCGAGGAGCCTTTGCTTGAGCGCTTGGCTACAGAGCTATTTCCTATAGCAACACTCCGTGAAGGAACATCTCCCGAAGAGACAACTGATATCCTGGATCCCTTTGCCGTCGTTGATATCCCGTCGCAGGCACTCAATACCTTCAGTACCTTTGTACGATCGCAACAGGGACCACGCGCCACTGAGAATAACATGCCGCACAGTCAGGCTCGCCGATACTCCCAGTTCCTTCTCCACGACATTCAGAATGAACTCAACGAAGGCGATACCTTGATTTTCGTGGACTTCCCTGCTCCTGCGAACCCAGCAGACAGCGTGGATTGCTTCATCTACGCATGGAACTCGGTCCGATTTCGGATGCCCTCTGAGAAGCTCCTGGCCACTGGGTCCTCCAAGTTCGCGGTGATGCTGAATCCTACCTACCAATTCCGTGTTCAGCGTCGGCGCAAGATTGCCAAGAATCTTCCCCCAGGCATCAAATACGTCTTGGACCTTACACCTCCTTCCGAGGGCGACGATCTCGTTTTTCAGATGACCGAAGCTTCGCTGACACCGGGCATCATGAACTGGTGGAAAGCTTTCGATAAGCACGATGTTGACGACTACGTTGTGCGTGGTCATGACGATATCTGCTCTTGTTGGAAAGAAGCAAAGGTCGGTAGCTTCAACACGATCATCGACAAGATTTCAGCGAGCGAAGCGTCCCGAGATGAGAACAAGGAACGGGACCCGGAGATGGAGTACGCCATCAGTTCGGCCATCAGAGAGAGTCTGCGCGATATCATCCCGGAAAACGGCAAGAATAAGGAGAGGCTGTACAGTGAGGACAAGGGATTGGCTGCCAGGGTTCTGGAGAAGAAGTCTAGAGGAGACTTTTCTGCTCCCGCAGTTCCCCCCTATAGACGTATCCCGGACTACTGCCCGATCCGTCATCGCGTCAACATTCTGCGCCTCATGTGCATCATTGCAAACAAGCGAGTTTTCATCGATTCGGCCGCTCGAGTTTGGACCCTGGTGGCAGTTGCCAAGATCTTGGACTGTACCACCGTTGTGGTGAGTTTCCTCGCCGCCCTCATTGACTTTGTTTGATTCTAACATGATCACTAGCGCGATCTAGTTCTTCAATGGATCACGTCTCCCAACAATACCTCCTTCATCGAAGTGTTGCCCGAGGAGAGTCTTCAGCTCGGTGTCACCCTGAAGCTGGAGGCTGTCACCCGCTCAGCGTTCCGAATCCTGGTGAATGAGCTGGCTCTGGAAGAAGCCGCCGATGTGAAGGGAACGCCCAAGGCCGCGACCTACACCGTCTTTGGACGCAAGCGCCACGATCCCGGCGACGACTTGAACAACCTCATCCAGCACGCGGCCAGAGCCATGGTCGAGCGCGTCTCGTGGCCCGTCAACCAGCTTGTTAGCGAGACCATCTTCGACGATCTCCAGATTCCAGAGTGGACGCGGTTGCAGAACCTCATCAGCATGCTTTCGAGCTGCCCAGATGACCCCGTCATGGTCAAAGCCAAGGTCTCCGCGATGACGGTATCATTCACGCTGAAGACTCTCTGGGAGAACCACGTGGTCTACAAGTTGCTCAGGAAGCCTCTTGACGCCGACGAGCTCCAAAAGATCGACGACCACCGAGCCAGCTATGTCGACGTTCAGAACTTCAACCGCTTCGAAATCATCTACAACCAGTTCAATAACGTGCAGAAGGCTCTGTGCACTTTCATGTACGAGACGGTCGGAAACAAGTGGGCGTCTCTGTCCGAAATATACACCTCAAGCGCCTCGGGCCAAATGAACGTGTACAAGTTGGTCACGACCTTGTGGGACCACTTGAGGGAGGTTCTCGTCGCGCACCCCGAATTCGCCTGGGACGGCGCCTGGATGGCGGTTCTGAACCTCCCCCGCCCCCTCTCCATGAAGAACCCGTTCGACACTCGCGAATTGGATATGATGGGTGCCTACAGATACGCATTCGACACCCGCGAGTTCCAGAAACCCCTCCAGGACTTCCTCAAGCCGTTCTACCAGGAATGCGTCCGTGCCGACTTCGAGATTAGGATGAACTTGACGCCGCACTTGCTGCTGAAGCTGCACCACAACGAGTTGAAGTTCTTGCCTCTCTGGGCCGGCGGTAACGACGACGGTACCGGAGGCGTGTTTGAGCACTCCCTGCCTCCCGCCGATTACGGTCCAGCCGGTCCAGGACCGGCCTATCACACCGGTATCACGATCCCTTCGGATGCCTCGAGCACCTCGGGCTCGGTGAGCAGCGTCTTGAGACAGCTTCGTCTGGAGGGAGGCGGTAGCACCGTCGGACCTGGCAGCGTGGACGTGCAAGACGGCATCTCGACCGTCTTCAACCCCAACAGGGTCATCGCCGACGACGTTTCCATCCGCACAGAGTCCTTCACGGACGGGGACTCGGAGTACGGCAACGCTAAATTCGCCGTCCCCGCAGACGGACAGTCTGTGGCTGAGGCCATGAGCATAATGGTCCTCGATGAGAGTCACGACCAGTCGGACACAGGCACCAGCATCAACTTCGATACCGACGCTGACGAGGACGACGAGGTGATGACGGAGATTGGTCCCGAGGACAGCCGCTCTCGTGAACAGACTCCCGAGTACGTCGTTGAGGGATCCGGTGCTCGCGCGGTATTCTCCTCTCGCGAAAATCAGCCGACCTCCGCTGCGTCGTCTTCCAAGAGCACCGCTTCGTCTTCCCTTCTTGACGACGACGACGATTTAGTTATGGTCTAGATCATCGTATCAGAAACGCGGGGTTCAACCAATACTCATGAATAACGATGCGGACTTGGGATTTGTTCAAGGCGTTTTGGCGGAGTACTAACAATTTGCATTACGATTGCCAGGCTGGCAGATCATACTGGTGATTACACAGGGAACAAAAAGGGGTCTGCGGTCGATGACACTGGCTCTCACTTATAGGTCAGCACAGATGAGACCGGATGTCTGGGCAAATGCGTTAGATGTTGGTAATGCTGTATTGAATACAAGAATTCAGTGAAGCCTTTTTGCCGTTCTCACCACAATGTGAACTCCCAAGGCCGTCGTCGTGTCGTGCGTGGTGGTATCCTCCCTATTTTCTTCTTGGTCTATGCATCAAACTCTTCCAAATTACATACTCCCACCCGATTGCCCCAATCCCCATCCCTAGTCCTACTTCTTGAGCCTCAGCCCCTGTTCAGCGTGTTTCCTGAACCCTTTGGATTCGCCTCGACAAACTCGTCCCACGCTCTCGCCTTCATAGTCTCCTCGTCCGCCTTGTCAAAGTCGTCTTCGTTAGGCTCCGGGCGGTGCCAGCTCGCGTCGCCGCCGCCCTCGATGATGCCGCCCCGACGCGCCTCCTCGTCGAGGTACTCGTCGATGCTCATCGTAGGCAGATTGTGACCGGGGCGGAAGACATCCTTGGTCATCTGTTGCCTGTTCCCGACGAGCGTGAACGGCTGCAGCGGCTTGCCCTCCTTGGACAGTATGGGGCCTCCTTGCCCAAACATGCTCTGCAGCCGGCGCGGGGGCTCGAGACGCTCGGTGTATCCCGCAGCGCCGCGGTCTTCGGTGCGGCGGCGCTCGTCCTCCTCGACGGACGTCGGCGAGGGCATCAGCGGCACCGTGGCCTGGGCCAGGACCTCGAGCTCGCGGTTGATACCCTCAAGCCCCTGGAACGCCATGTGCGCCGAGTACGCGACGTGCGCGAGGTGCAGGTCGCGGGCGACCTCGTCGTCGCCGTCCTCGTTCTGGTAGCGCGGGTTCCTGCGCAGGGCCTCGAGGCGGTCCTTGAGGGCCTTTTCCGACTTGAAGTTTGCGATTTTGGCGTCGCGGCGCTTGGCGGGGTCGTTGGTGCCGAGGGTGGAGAAGGCGAGGGGCTCGTCGGTGTAGCGCTCGTAGAGCATCTTGTTCGTATCGGTCAGGAGGTCGTAGGAGTCGAGGGCGCCGAGGAAGGTCTCGTAGGACTCGCGGGCGCGCTCGAGGGCGACGCGGCGCTCGATGGGCCGGCGGGAGGGGAGCTTCTGGTGCAGCTCGGCGAGGTGGTATGTGATGAGGAGGTAAGGGAGCGAGGAGGTGGAGAGGTCCTCAAGGGACTCGTTGGAGGAGAAGAGGGCGGCGCGAGAAACTAGGTCGAGGCATGTCTCGTACTCTGCGATGGCGGTTTGGAGGTCGTCGAGGTAGGTCGGAGAAGAGGCCTCGTAGGAGTTTTCGAGGGTGAGGCGCTTTCTCTCGGCCGACGTGAAGACGGATTTGAGTGTCTGGGGTTGATCCTCGTCTGCCATGATCGCTGTTCGGACTGTGGTTGTTGGCTGTCGGGAGGTGTTCGTCGAGAGCGTCGTTTGTTGCTTGGTAAGGTAAGTAGTGGGGATGGATGGAGGGGTGGAGGGGTTGGGGGAGAATGGGAATTGGAAATTGGAAACTGCGACGAGTTGCAGGGAATACGAGAAGAAAAGGTCGAGGAGAGACTTGTGACCCAACACAAAGGGTGGTAAAATCAAGCTGCAGCGACGATCAAAGTATCATAAGCTGTGGCGTATGAGGGGATTCATAGCTAGCTTGAAATCTACTGCAACGGTTCGCCTCTTTGCGCTTAGAAGAGGCCATCGAGAATTGGCGCCAAACGTTAGGTTCCGTCGTTCCAAATCCTTAGGTTAGGTTACCTTAGGTTGAGTGGCGATTTGCATTCTCGGCAATGGTCCTTATCTTATCTAGGGGACCACCCACCCGACCACATCCCACCTCAGTGCTCGCTCATGGCGGCGGCGGGGGAGCTGAGAGATGGAAGGTGGGGTAGTAACAGGGGTCCATGTCGGCAGAGCTCTCGACCGAAGGGCAAGGTACAACAGTACCACGGTACCTACCTAATACTTGCAAGCATCAACCTCAGATGCGGTGAGCTTATTATAAACGACAACTCTTCAAGAGAGACAGCTCACCAGATGAAGCAGCCTTCCTGTTCCAACCTCCGCCTGAGTCGTCACTTAGACGCCATTCCATGGAGAAGCAATAATTCAAATTGCTCGGACCTTGTTGAAAGAATCAACCACCCAGCTTCATGGGCATTGTTTGAATCTTGGCTCATCGGAAATCTGAGCGAAATCTTCACCCGATTCAATTCGATTGTTTGCCTCATGCTGCTCGCCGCGCCATGCCGGCAGCAATCGGAGTAAAGATGTATACTGGACTGACAGATGTTCTCTTTATATATTTTCCACTTTCACATCTCTAGTCTTGTTTCTCGTTTCTATTTGAAAGTTTCGATTTTTAATGCCCTTCCTGCTCTTGATATCCAAAGCATCAACTTCCTTCAAAGCTGGTTCAGTTTCGTTGTAGACGCCTTTGTTTCGTTGAGAGTCAAGGCACCATTGGGAACAGCGCTGTCCGATGCATCTGGAGCGCGTTCTTTCTCAACTCCTCCGGCACTCACACCTTCCATTCTTGAGCGGAAATACGGGAAGGTAGACGGCCAGAGTTTTCTCCCCTTCTCACATCATATCCTCCTGCCATCACCTTCCCTCACTTTTCCCTCAACCACGTCCACTTCACTTCGGCCCTCCGGCCTTCACCTCATCAGACACCACAAATGAGCCAGACATCACCAACTCTTAACACATGAATTGAGGTGAAACTGGTCTCACTGAGAGGTACCTATTCCTTTGCATGCCCTTCTACCTGAGTTCTCGAGACTCTTCAGCTCACGCTAGTTTTCTTACATCCTGCAGTGACCTACTTCTCCTTCAATTCGACATCAAAGTTGATGATTGGAATTGACTTTTGCGCACTTCCGCTGCGTTGAACAGAGACGGAGTTGTTTGAGAAGGAGCCATCCTCTTCTGAGTTGATCCAGCTTCGCGCTCTATTCCCATTCATCTTACACCCACTCTCTATGCAACCTCTCTGCCTGCCGATAAACCAACGTCATCATCTGCAATTGTGCTCCCTTGCCAACAACACTACTGAGGCACAGAACTCGTCTCACAAAGTATTCACGCAGATATGGAGACATCCAACCGTCAAAGAATTGTGGATCGGCCTCTCATCGACGGCCTAGGGAAGCTCTACTTGACTCCCCTTCCCTCAAAGCCCTCGACGCCTGTGGAGAGAAGCCATGAACAGCCTTCGACGACCGGACTAGGAAACATCTGCCCGGCAATAGAAATTTCCACCAACCTACCCTCTCCGAGCTATTCAACCGCGACTTCCTCCAGGCATGGTTCCATTGTCAACACAGACGATGTCGAAGAGCAGGACCAGGCAGATGAGGATGAAGAAGATGACTATCGTCGCTGGAGTGTCAACCCTGAGAGGCCGCGAAAGATCTCCGAGAAGAAGCGTCAGGACCACGCCAAGTTCCAGTCTTGGATCGAATCGAATCAAGCCAAGGTGCTTGAGGCAGCCTCAAAGACCAAGGCACCGGCACAAGGATCTGTTGCATACTTGGTGAAGGAAAGTGAGAACCGAAGAATTATTCAGACTCCTCGCGAGTACCAGATCGAACTCTTCGAAAGAGCGAAACAGAAGAACATCATCGCAGTCCTGGACACGGGCACCGGCAAGACCTTGATTGCCGCTCTTCTGCTTCGTCACATACTTGAGAAGGAGGTCGAAGACCGCGCACTCGGAAAGCCGAAACGTACTGCTTTCTTTCTGGTAAGCCCTAGTAGACCGATGGCCAGCAATTATCCTCAGACTAACGTATTCATGCAGGTTGACAAGGTGTCGCTGGTCTTTCAGCAGCACGCGGTTCTCGAGTGCAACCTGGAGCATTCTGTCGCCCGGTACTGCGGTGACATGGTTGACGAGATGTGGTCAAGCGAGTTCTGGGCTAAACAGTTTGAAGAGAACATGGTCGTGGTTTGTACTGCGGCCATTTTGCAGAAATGCTTGATGCACTCTTACATTCGCATGGACCAGATCAACCTCCTCATCTTCGACGAAGCACATCATACGAAGAAAAATCATCCCTACGCGCGCATCATCAAGGATTTCTACATCAAAGAGCCCGAGAAGGAAAAGAGACCCAAAATTCTCGGCATGACTGCGTCACCGGTCGACGCCCAGACGAACATGAAGGTTGCTACTGCTCAGCTAGAGTGCCTCCTACACAGCGAGATTGCAACCGTCTCCGAGGAATCGCTGGCTTTGAATCCCAACCAGCGGAAGATTACAGAGAGAGAAATCCACTATACGCCTCTAGTGAGATCGTTTGAATCGGAACTCGCGCAGAAGATACGGGTACTTGTTCGCAGGAACCAACTCTTTGACAAGGAGCTGCAATGGACTACTACCGCCATGGCGGAACTCGGTCCGTGGGTAGCAGATCGCTTCTGGAAGCTTTACCTTACAGACAACACGATTGCACGACTGGCGAACAGAACAGACATCAACTACTCAGGTTTCGACGGCAATGGCAAGCATACAGCGGCAGTCCAAAAGCTTCGGGATATCATCCAAAGTCACAACTTTAAGCCACCCACGCTATCTTTGGATGATGTGTCAAGCAAGGTCCTCCGCCTTTGGGACGAGCTGAAGGTCCGATTTTCTCAGCCCACTGATTATCGGTGCATCGTATTTGTGGAAATGAGACTCACTGCAGTGATGCTCGCCGAGTTGTTCAAGCAGGATGGCATGGACTTACCACACCTCAAGCCGGCAGCACTCGTCGGCAGCCAGGCCTCTGCAGGTCTCGGCAACATGTCATTCAAGGAACAGCTCTTGACCATCACGAAGTTCAGGCGGGGTGAAGTCAATTGCATCTTCTCTACCCAAGTTGCTGAGGAAGGAATAGATATTCCAGCCTGCAATGTGGTCATGCGATTTGACCTTTACAAATCCGTCATTCAGTACATTCAGTCGAAGGGACGCGCAAGACAGCAAGACTCAGAATACCTCTCCTTCGTTGAGATAGGCAATGGAAGACATACCCGAGCGGTAGCGCAGGCCACGTATGATCAAAGCGTTCTCCGCCGATTCTGCAGCGCCTTACCAGAAGACAAGAAGATCATGGGCATGGACATCAACGCTACTGTTATGCAAGGAGAGTTACACTATCAAACTTACACCATCAAGGAGACCGGCGCCAAGCTGACGTGGATGTCTAGCTTAGAGGTGCTGGCCAACTTCGCATCATCGCTGCGCCAGTCCAGCGATGAAGTCTTGATGCCAGAGTATGTGGTGACCAACCAGGGACAATCTTTCATCGCTGAGGTTCAGTTACCGGCGAAGTCCCCGATTCTTAGCATGACGGGAATGCCACACAAGAGGAAGCAGTCTGCACGCTGTTCTGCGGCGTTTGAGCTGTGCAAGGAGCTCATCAAGAAGAAGTACATCGATCTCAACTTACAACCAATCTTCACCAAGAAGCTTCCTGCGATGCGCAATGCCCGTCTAGCAATCAGTGCCAACAAAAGGGCAGAGTACAAGATGCGTACCAAGCCTGAACTCTGGTCACGAGTTGGTGCTTTTGATCATCTGTATGTCACAGTACTGGCACTTGCTTCGCCAGACGCAGTTGGCAAAGAGTCGAAGCCGCTACTTCTCCTCACCAGAGAGAAGTTGCCCGACCTTCCTCCTATACCCCTGTTCTTTGGAAATGACCAGCAGTCTGATGCTTTCGCCCTGTGCGTACCGAAGCCGATCAACATTTCCCCAGCAGATTCAGAGCTTCTAAGGAAGTTCACCCTTCGTGTGTTCAAGGACCTTTTCAGCAAGGAATACGAAGCTGCGATCTTCGATATGCCTTACTTCCTCGCTCCGACCGCACAGAGTCATTCCGCCGACTATCAACATGCCGACGCAGCTGCACTGGTTGACTGGAACCACCTTCAAGCGACCAACGACAGAGAATATCTGGACTGGGACGACAGCACCTCAGATGAGTTCTTTACTGACAAGCTCGTGATTGATCCTTACGCGGGATCTCGCAAGCTACGCTTGAGAGGAGTTCGCAAAGACCTGAAGCCAATGGATCCCGTGCCCGAAGGCGTTCCTGACCCTGGTCACAGGCCGTGGCGCGACTCGGCCGTGGAGAAGAACATTAAGGAGTACAGCGTCAGTCTCTGGATGAAAAGTCGTCTTAAGCGAACATGGCGCGATACGCAGCCTGTGGTCAAGGCCGAAGTGATCTCTCTGAGGCGCAATTTGCTGGACGACTTTGTGGAGGCCACAAACGAAGAGTCCAAGGTCTGCTACGTGATATTAGAGCCCTTGAGGGTCTCAACTGTAAGTTCAGTTCCCATCTAACCGAACTCATAACCTAACTATCCCTAGTTACCTATGGAGACAGTCGTCATGGCATTTACATTTCCTGCCATCATTCATCGCATGGACCAGGTCATGGTTGCCCTCGACTTGTGCAAGTTGCTCAAGCTTGACATCCGGCCTGACCTGGCCCTCGAAGCCGTCACCAAAGACTCTGACAACAGTGACGAGCATGACGCAGAGAAAATCAACTTCCAAGGGGGAATGGGCAACAATTACGAGCGCCTGGAGTTCATTGGCGATACTTGCTTGAAAATGGCCACCACGATCGCCCTTTTTACCAACAATCCAGACAATAATGAGTTCCAGTATCATGTCGAGCGTATGCTTTTGATCAGCAATCGGAACCTCTTAAACAAGGCTATCGACCGGAACTTACAGGAATACGTGCGATCAAAATCCTTCAACCGCCGCAGCTGGTATCCTCAGGGTCTCCGTCTCATCCGAGGCAAGGAGGGCACTGTTGATGCCAACCATGCTCTTGCGGACAAATCCATCGCCGATGTCTGTGAAGCCCTGATCGGCGCCGCGTATCTCACGTTCAGCGATTCAAACAACTTCGACATGGCCATCCGGGCAGTCAGCGCCATGGTGAACGACAAGAACCATCGCATGACCTCGTGGGCCGACTACTACGCAGGGTACAAGCCTCCTTCTTGGCAGACAGAGCCAGCCTCCGCAATGTACCGGGATGTGGTCAGACAGGTCAAGAACAAGGTGGGATACGACTTCAAGTCACCTGCGCTGCTGCGAAGTGCCTTTAAGCATCCGTCGTGCCCTCACAATGTATGCTCTCTGCCCAACTACCAGCGTCTCGAGTTCCTCGGCGATGCTCTGCTCGACATGGTCTGCGTAGACTTCCTCTACCACAAGTTTCCCAGCGCGGATCCGGAGTGGCTGACCCGCCACAAGAGTACCATGGTCAGCAATCGCTTCCTGGCCTGCCTCTGCGTGAAGTTGGACCTCCACAAGCACATTTTGACGGCGCAGGCATCGTTGCTGAGCCAGACTCAGGAATTCGTTGCCGCTCTCAGATTCGCCGAAGAGAGCGCCAGAGAAGAAGCTCTGATGGAGGCAGTTCAAAACGGAGCTCCCGCCGACGGAGAACAAGGAAAAGAAGCACCGGTGACCAAAGCTACAGGGAATGCCACGACCGCCACCCCAGTGAGCTACTGGCAACACGTAGAAGACGCGCCCAAATACCTCTCTGATATGATGGAAGCGTACATTGGCGCCGTCTTCGTGGACTCAGGCTACGACTACGGCCAGGTCCGCTCCTTTTTCGAAGCCCACGTCCGGCCCTTCTTCACCGACATGTCCCTCTACAGCGATTACGCCCTCAACCATCCCGTCACCAACGTCTCGCACATGCTCCGCAACGATTTCGGCTGCGACGGCTGGCGCCTCATGACCAACGAGGTCGTGCCGCCCATCGAGGCCGGCGCCGGTGTCATCACCGAGACGCAGGTCCTCTGCGGAATCATGATTCACGGGCAGGTGTACTTCCACGCGACGGCTGCGAGTGGACGGTATGCCAAGGTTGCGGTCGCCAAGATGGCCATTACGAAGTTTACGGATATGGATAGGGAGGCGTTTAGAAAGGAGTTTGCGTGTGATTGCCAGGATGTGGAGGGTGAGTGTGGCACACAGCAAGTTGATCCTAGACTTGCCGCCTGAGATTGGGAGTGGCGATATGAGATGGGTTTCATGGACAAGGGATGGAAGTGATCCAGAGGGGCTCATGATGGATCGTCATCCACGTCATCCACGTCGAGCCGCTCAACCCCGTATGGGTAACCTACGCTGCCGACGCACGATTCTCCAGGAGCTCGCTCTGCTTACGGCGCCTTCATAGAAAGACGCAGGCGTGCTTCTAGCGAGGACTTCATATCGCTCTATACAAAAGCGAAAACAGCGAGGACACAGATAGAGCAGCATGTTGACACAGAATAAAGACTCGTTACCCCGTCACCCCTGCCTCCGTCGAGAACAAGATACAATGTACTTTCATCACAGGAGAGCACATCAGGAGGTTGGAAAGACGCCAGAAGTGAAGTTTGAGGAAACAGTCGAGCCCAAGTTGATTTGGCTCTGAAGATAGACTAGACGACGATACTAGTCCACAAAATTCCCTCCATCCATCCTCACCAACTCATCTCCCCCTTTTTTTCGACCCGTCGCAGTCACCTCATGCTGCAGTCGCGATCAATCCCTTTTCCTCCTCCCTTCCTGCGTTTCGTCGTCATTTCCCTCATTCCATAGCATACACAAGCGTGTGTTGCTGCTATCCAACGTGAAAAAAGAATTCCGAACACGCTTGTGACAAATAAGAAGAGAATTCATCTCTAAGTGTAAATAAAAAAAACAGACCCGTGTTGAAACTCCTTGCTCTCTGGTTGTTTGTGTGGTTCTCCCGGACCTTTTTCTTCTCGTTGGGGAAAAGAAACTTGTGGTCCGTTTGTATGGGGGGTATCGTTGAGATATATGCATTTGCTCCGTTGCTTTCCCTTCCTGTCCGTTTCCTCTTCTCCTTGACTTTTGTTGTGTGGTGTGGTGTGATTTGTGTGTTCGAATTTTGGTTTCACCTCATGCATTTACCGCTTGAATGCCATGGATAGAAACATGCCCACTTGAAAAAGTTTTTTGTTGGAAAAAACAAAGTTGACCCCCTTTTGCCCTGTTGAAAACGCCGCTCATGATGCATACTTAGGTAAATAGTAGTAAAGGGGGTGTGTTAAACACAAGTCAGAATGAATCGTTCGTTAGTTTGCCGCAACTGCGGCGGCAGGAGCGCTGCCGTTGGTTTGTTGTTCCTTGGCGGCTCCGTTTGTCTGAGGCTCAGCCGAAATGTCGCTGTATTCCTTGACCTCAAGGCCCTCGAGCAAGTCGAAGAGAGCTGTCTTCTGGTGGAAGTCGTTGTTTACTAGGTCATGTTAGCATGTGTGCTCAGCACGATCAAACTGACGAGCAAGACTCACCGATGTTGATGAGGTACCATTCGTTCATGATACGCTCAACAAGGGTTCTACTGGGAGACCCAGCCTCGAAGCAGTGTGCCCAGTCAATACCCAAGCGGAAAGCCTCGTCCTTCCAGGCCATGAAGCTGATACCCTCGACAATGGTGGGCTGGACAATCTCCTTGCCTGGGAAGACACCCCATGTAACAGCGTTGGGGCTGTCGTTTGAAGCGTTGTACTTCAAGTTGCCAGTCTTTGTGGTGGCGTAGTAAGTCATATCAGGGTTCTTCTCGACGCGGGCAACGATCTCATGGTACACATCGGGGTGAACGAGGAGTTCGAGGTAAGCCTTCTGGTAAACGTAGCCGTTTGCCGGTCCCCAACCGTGTACTGGATGGGTCGACTTCACGCCGTCGACAGCAGGTTGAGAGTTGATGGTCAGGAGGCCACGCTTGTTCAAACCAATGAGCTCTTCGCGAATGGGATCGGCTTCGCTAGTGAGAGGTGCCTCACTCCAAGGCAATGAGTCGAGCTCCGTCTCAAGGTATCGGACGAAGATGTTGGCAATGTCCTTCACTGACTTGGGCTCGCCCCACTTCTTTCTGTTTTGCTCGTTCGTACCGGTCAAGCCAATACCGTAGGCATCCAGCTCGCCGAAAGCGGGAGATCGAGAATCACCCCAGCGTCCGTTGGGGAACTCGTCCCAGTCCTGGGTACGAAGAACGTAAGACTTGTTACGGCCCTTCCAGAAGATGGGGCGTACATCCTCCTCTCTGCGTCCGTGGGCCAGGGACTGCTTCCAGGGAAGAGCATGCTTCACAGGGCGGTCGCTCGTGGGCATCCATTCCAGCTCCTCAAGAACCATTCTGGTGGCCTGAGCCAGGTTCATGGTGTAGAAGTGCAGATGGTGAATGCCAGCGGCAACAATCTTCCGGCACATCTCGGCGACCAGACCCTTGCCGACCTCTCTAACAGCGACGTCGTCGTTCTTGATAGGCTCCAGAGCAGCCATCCACTCCTCAGGCACCTTGCAGTTCATGTGCTTTGCGCGGCGCAAGAAGCTGGAGTAGGTGGCAATTGGCATAATACCGGGAATGATGGGGACGGTAATGCCACGCTCGCGAACCTTGCCGACCCAGCGAACAAAGTTGTCGCCGTCGTAGAACATCTGTGTGACAATGAAGGTCGCGCCCATATCGACCTTCTCCTTCAAGTGGTCCAGCAGCTGCTCCTCGTCCTTGTTGTCGTCGCAGCCCTCGGGGTAGCCAGCAACACCAATGTCAAAGTGGTCGTGGTAGGTGGCACGAATGTGCTTGACCAAGTCCTTTGCGTAGCGGAAGCCGTCGTCGGTGGCCTCCCACTTCTCCTGCTCTCTCGGGGGGTCGCCACGCAGGGCTAGGATGTTGGTGCAGCCAGCCTTGTAGGCCTTGCGCAAAGCGTCGTTGACCTTTTCTAGGCCCATGTCGGTACAAGTCAAGTGCATGCAGGTCTCGAGACCGTAGATGGACTGTGCCTGGAGGACCATCTCGCAGGTGAGCTCGGCGATGCGGCCGCCAGCACCCCATGTAATGTCGATGAACTTGGGACCGAAGTGGTACATGCGCTCCATACGATCGTAGAGGTTCTGGACACCCTGGGCCGTCTTAGGAGGGAAATACTCGAAGGAGAAGGAGGGCTCGCCCGTCCTCCGGGACTCGTCGAGCATAGCCTTGATGTGCATATTGGCGGTTGTGTGGGTGGAAGTTTTCTGAGTGGTTCAAAGGCAGAGCACAGGTGGAAGTATGGCCGCCAAAGGGCTCGCTAGAATCGCCGGGTGCTAGAAGCAAACTTGTCAGACTCAATTGAGTAGAGGAAGCAAATACGAAGAGCAAATTGTGGGAGCGGGAGTCCCGTATGGAAAAATGAAGCTATTTAGAAGTGGCGTGGAAGTGCCCTGGGTAAGGGAGACAGAGTGGCGGAGAGGCTAGAAGTAGCGGGGTGGAAGTGGAATGGTGGACGGTAGGAATGGAATGGTGGAGGGGTAAAAGGCGCGTGTTTAAGGAACGCCAGGAGAAAAGTCTAGACATTCTGAAGCAAGGGAAACGAGAAGTCAATAACTCACCAAACAATCTCGTTGGCTAAAAGCGTATGGTACGTCTCTCCTAACACACCGATCCCCGGATCTGCGCAGTAGACAATTTCCCAAATGTCCCAAGAAAAGAAAAAAAGGCACCTGAAGGGAATTGGACTTTTGAGGTATGAAGGGGGGAAGAAGTTTAGAAATTTTGCAGCACCGGCCGAGATGTGCTACCTCAGTGCCCAAGTCCAGGAAAGTAACAGACCGGGGAGAAGAAGGAGAGAAGTGACGGAGGGCAAAGGTACGTAGATACGGGTGGCATCCAGTTCCAGACCCTCTTACCCTTCCCAGTGCTGGATCCCACGCTTTTGCTGCATCAGAGCTCCGAACAAGGAGGGAATCTACGCATGAGAGGGTCCAATGATTGGCGACTGCCCCTCCATTGCGAGGTACGTGGGTACCTAAGGTACATTTCACTGGACCTCTCAGAGATCCATCATCCATGGATGCTAAGGTAGGGACGGATGTCGCACCGAGCACCGCGAGTCTTCCATGACTCTTGGAGAGTATGAGTGAGAGCCAGAGTGAGAGTGAGAGTGAGAGTGACTCTGAGACTTCCATTGAGTGAGTGAGTCCCCCCACCTTACTACCCTCAGTGACCCTCCATCGATGAGGTGATCGTCCCTGCCCTGTGCAACTGCGGGGTGCGGCAGAAAAACTGTCACGTCTCCGTAGAGGTGCTCACTCTGTAAGGTACGAAAAAACTTGTGTTTCTTGAAACTTCCGTCTCATTCATCTGTGCTCTCATTACACAAAATAAGGTCGGTTGTGTGAGCGAATACTATCTGTTCCAAAGTTCCTTACGGCAAGGCCTCACATTAGTGACTGTAACAGGTGTCCTGATGGCATGTGCCCGAGGTGACGAAAGGACCGGATACTTTCTCGCCCGCCTCATCCCTTCACCGCCAGACGGGACGACCTACGTCAGGTACACTGCACCCTCACAAAGTCACAACCCTCTCCCATGCTTCCCCGACACACACACACAGAAACACACATGCATACCTCTACACACCACCACACAACCAACCAAGCCAGCCGCTTTCGCACCGTGGAAGTTTATTCCAACCAGGGCCTACCCTTCCCGTCCTCGGGTCCGTCGTCGGCGGTCGGCCACTTCCAGCCTCTGGCGCCTCGCGCGCTCCACACAAGAGCCCACCAGTCTCCGACTGTTCGTCCTCCAAAAGCCTCCATACTGCGTAGCTCCAAGAAGGGTCTCCATTTCTCCAGATACCGCACCCTTCTGCTACTCGATCTTTTTTGTTTTAGTTTCTACCACGTATTACGTGATTACACACAGATGGGGTTTGTCAACTAGCATGATTGGCGGATCTCTCGCTGAAACGCCTGCAACCCGTTGGCTCAAGTTTCTCTAAACCAACCAAACGGTTTCCCAAATCTCGGGAAACAGGAAACGGGAAACCGGGAAAAACGGGAAGATCAAAACACCATACTCCTTCGCCCAAAACTATAAAATAAGTCGCCGCAAAGGCTTGTTGGGCAGTGCATCCCGGGAACCCTTTTTCGGAATAACAATCGTTGGTCACTTTCCGTTGTGGTCAGTCAGTCACATGGCAGAGGCAGAAGTCCTGTAAAACGAGGAATGGGATTCTCTGTCATGCCTCTCAACTGGATAAAGTTGGTCCATCGGGAAGCTTTTGATACTACATCGGGCCATCGCAGTAAAACCCCCCCGTCACACCAACGACCGATATCCCCGGATCACTGCAACCGAGTCCGACGGCGACAACGGCGCAAAGCTCCGAAGTACTTCGTAACACTAGCACAACACACAACACAGTACGCGCGACGCTTTTCTTCAGATCGGCCACTGAGAGTTCAGCAACTCTCCCTTACTCCCTGCGCCTGCGGAACATTCAAATTTGGAGTGACTGACTTGCTCCCGCATTTTTCTTCCAAGCGAAGCCAATAAGCTCCGGCCAAGCATCTCGCCTTCCGCGACTACATGCACTAGCCCGTCCGCCCGTCTGCTGCATGTCGCGCATCTAACCTCAGTCCGGCTGCGCATGCTTCTTCTGGCCCATCCGTTCGTTCCTCGAGAGAGTGAAATGCGAGTTGGATGCTGATGCCTAGCAAGTCTCAGCTCAAACTCGGCATTGACCGTGGCAACGGACCTTTCTCAAAGTGAATGGAGCTTACTTTCTCCGGCTGGGATGTCAAGAGTTCACGGGTGAGTCCAGACTAATCCTCGGCAATACTCAAGTAATGGTTATTCCAACAGTATTGGTTGGACGCTTGACTTCGCCTCTAAGTCGGTCTGTATGCACTCTATATGCCTACAACCTGCAAGACGCTTAAACGGCATCAGTCAAGTCAACCACACTGCCCGGCCGCATCTCCAATGCCTTGGCACCCCTTAACGACCGCCACCTATTGCTCTGAGCAATAACACTCCTATCAAACAAGAACCACCACCTCTCAAACAGTGCCTGACCTACCTCCCAACTCGACGCATCATACGGGTCCCCACCCCATATACGCGCCCCCTCGCTAGAATCCTCCAGGTCGTACGCAAAGTTGACCAGGCCCAGCTGCCCCCGAGCCGCAGGCGGTCTCGCTCCATCGGGTAGACTAAACAGGTTGATGATCCGATTACGGACGTCGGGCCACGGTAAGAAATCCATGATGGGGTGGTGAGGCACCAGCACCTGCGCCGCCGTCGGCTTCCACGTCGCGGGCAGCTGCTCGACCGGCGTGCCCGCGCCCAGGTTGAACGGCGACGTCGCCGCCGGATCCCACATGACAGACTCGGAGCCCAGCCGCGTAGCCACTCGCAGCAGTCCCGTGAGGAGCTTCAGGTCGCTCAGGGGCAGGAGGTAGCTGTCAGAGAATTCTGACGGCGAGAGGGACGCGCCGCTGTCCATGAGAGACGCTGGGTCGATGGTCGAAGGCGGGCTGGGCAGTACCGTCATCGCGGTCTCGCCGCTGACTGAGTTGTGGTCTAACATTGGCGGGTTCGTACCGTACAGCAGCTCCGATATCGAGCTGTCGTCTGAGAGATCGGCTGGCCACGCCGTAGATGCGTCCAGATTGAATCCCACAGTAGCGCCGCCATCCGGGTCAGCGTTCAATGGAAAGCGGCGGTCTGCAGTCTGCTCAATCGGGTCGACGGCATCAGGAACGGGTGGAGCAGCAGCAGCCGCTGCCGGAGGAGGAGGGCCGCCGTGGTCGACGCATGTCTCAGACACCCGGCGCTCTGGGCCATCGGCGTGCCTCTTCTCCCTGGCGAGGCGGTCTTGTTTCTTGCGTTCGCCTGTCCTTTCAGGGTCAGTAATCTTGTAAGTCCGTTTTGATGCAGTCGAGATGTGACAACGATGCGCCATGCAGTAGAGTGCATCTGATCAAACGATGGGAGCTTCCGACGAGGCGGTGTGAAAATCAAAACAACGTACGGTATCTCCGCTGGGCCAGAACGTTCAACACCCGCTTCCTCTCCGGTGCGTCTTCGTCAATATTTGGCACGTCCAGGGCGGGACGTGCCTTGGGGAGTCGTTGCCGCGTCCTGGGGCGGTTGCTGTAAGTCGTGGGGACCGCCGAGCTCATTGTGCGCTGCTCCACTGCCAAGAGGTTTCCTGTGACAGTGTTGAGTAAATTTGTGATGCTTCTCAGTACCCCTGAGAATTGTGATTCGAGTTGACTTGGCGAGTTGCAGTGAGGTGATTCGTAGAGAGAAAGTTATGATTGAACTTCAGGAGCGGATGACGAGGTGTAAGCATGTCGTTGAGCGATGAGGGATGCGGTACAGTGTCAGAACATGCGTTATGTTAACTGTTCGAGCATAACGGATAAGCAATTTGGTTGAAGCGTAGCCTGTCCCTTAACAATACGCGTCGTTGAGTGAGATGAGTACAGTCTGAGACACAGTGTTCTTAGTGCCGTCCACGATCTACCAACCTACACCAAGTCACTTCTGTGCTAAGGTTAGAAAAGACATGTTTTGCACTCTATGCCTACTTCTTCTCGAACATCATGGACCTCATACGTTGTACATGAACATCTAGTAGCCAGTGTCTTCCCTCTCATTGGCTTCGTTCGGGATGAGAGCTGCGAGGAAGATAGGGGCAGTAGACATGAAAACAACCCGAGAGTAAACACTTTCTGGCTGGCTGAAGATGAGAGCAGAGACCCAAGGCAACATGAAAAGATCTAATTGCCAAAGTGCTTCATGATGTAAGATGAGATTTTTATTGGGTATACAAGCTCAAAAACCAACAATCGTAACCAAACGCCCGTCATTCCGTTCCTGTGATCCCATTCCGTTTACTTTTCTTTTATCGACCCTCTTGAAAGTCGAGCCGTCTACATGTGATTTTTTTTGAATTATAAATTGTCCGTCGTAGAGTCATGTGTAGAGAACGTAGCAGAGAAGTTACGCCCGCCACCTCCAGGTCTACTATCACGCAGGCCCCGCGCCGCTTCCAAAATCCATCCCCATGGCCACGTCAAGACCCTCCAAGTCAGCCGCACTCAGGTCAAAGTTCATGTCCTGCAAGATGTCATTCATTTCCGCGTCCGACAGCGTCAGGCCGGGGGTGCCCGAGGGTGCAATAGCGGGAGCGGGCGACACCGTCGGGGCAGAAGTTGCCGTCGACGCCGGCGTGGGCAGCGGTCTCGGCTGCGGACGGACAAGCACAGGCGCCTGCTGCTGCTGCTGGCCCGGAATCTGGCCCCTCGTCATCATCCACCCTTTGAACTTGCCCATCAACACAGGGTCGTCCGCGGCCGTCTCGGCTGAGTTGAGAATCATCCTCGCCTTGACCCGGATCGCCTCGTCGTCGGGGAACGACCCCGTCAGGCTAATCTCCGACTCGACAAACTTGACCAGCCCGTCCTCGAGCTCGCGCGCACAAAAGATGGTGGCAGGCTTCGGGTACCGCGTCTTGAAGGTCTCGAGGTACTTGTTGGTTATGGTAGAATCCGTCTGGAAAAACTTGACGTTGCGGATCGGCACCTCAGTCGTCTTCTCGCTGAAGGGAGCCATGTCGCCCTTGGGGAATGCGTAAGGCGGCGCGAAGCCCGTACCGCCTTGCTCGAGGGACCAGGCGTCGCCGGGCGGAAGGCCCGGGCCGGGCTCCGCGATGATGCCGGCATCTCTCTTAAAGCGGCGCAGCCATTCTGCATTGTCGGCTGCGGTTTGGTTCCATGGGTCGTCACTGTTGTTGGGCTTGGTTAGCTACACGATACTTTTGCATTTTGTGTTCTCCAGAATGGGGACTTACTCATCG